GGGCCACCCACTGGAACCAAGAGCCACACCTCAGGAGACCAAGCAGCACCATGGAGGACAGAGAGCCAGTCCCGCTCCCGGCGACCGTCCAAGCCCCAACCCCACCGACAGCCCAGGACCGCACCCGGCGGTCCGCCCTTCTTCAGGACCCCCTCCCCAAATGGCAGTCAGGGAACGGGATGGGAATAAAGACCCTGACACCCACACCCCCACCCTCAGATGTACTGTTGGTGCATGTTGTTCTATGGAGCAATTAAAAAAAAGGAACGCTTTCATTTTCCGATAAGCCAGATATCCACCTCCGCCGATCAGCAGAAATCCAACTATCATAAATCCAAATATGTACAAATCTTCCACGTCTTCAATGGAAAGTGGTGGTCTTGTTGTCCCTCCGAGCCAACTAGATGACTCTTAGCTCATCACACATGGCAGGAATATCTCCTAAAATTATCTTAAGAGACATTGAACCATCAGGGCATCCTTAAGATGATCAAAAGGGTCAAATTAGTCAGAAATTGTCACAATTATCCTGTAGTGTGAACCAGGCTTCAGTTCTTACTGCACCAAGAGAGCAACATGTGATTTTTGTGACTCACTTGTTTTTTTCCCCTCCTCCAGGATCTTAGAGCTGCAGGAGAAAGGTGATCTGGACATCATGAAGCAGAAGTGGTGGCCCCGCACCGGCCGCTGCGACCTCAGCAGCCACGCCAGCGCCCACCCAGACGGCCGCTCCCTCAAGCTGCACAGCTTCGCCGGCATCTTCTGCATCCTGGCCGCCGGCCTGCTGCTGGCCTGCCTGGTGGCCGGGCTGGAGGCGTGGTGGAACAGCAACCGCTGCCGCCAGGAGCAGCCCAAAGAGGTGACCGAGCTTAGGGCCCGGCGGACGGGCCAGCGGGGGGAGGACACTGCCACACTCTACTTTAAGGATCCAGCCGCAGACATGAGCCCCGACTTAGTGGAGCTGCAGTACACCCAGCTGTAGAGGAGAGAGGGTCAGTGTTAGCTGCAGAGCTGGGAGACAGAGGGAGACAGGACAGAGTAGGAACCCTGTGCTCTGCACCTCATCAGGCCACTGATTAAAATCAAATTTGGTCTTTTATTACCAACACCCCCCACCCACTCTATTCTTTTATTATTTTATCTGTCCATCACTTCCCTCCACCTCTTCCTGAACTTTTGGAGTTCATCTATTTTTACTGTAAATTCTCTAAACCAGCGGTCCTGGACCCTGATCCTCGTGGTCCTGCATGTCCCTCTGCTTCAGGAATGTTGAAGCAGAACATCATCTAAAACATGCAAAAAGGTGGACCACAAGGATCAGAGTCAGGACCTCTGCTCTAAACCACAAGAAGCACACAGCATACCTCACCCAGCCATTACTTTTACTAATTTACTCATAAAACTGAAACTTTTTGGCACCCTCAAAGAGAAGAGAAGAGTTGAATCCCTCTCAGGAAGTCAGGAAGTGCCTCCTAACGTGTCCGGCGTGTTTCCCAACAAACCGCCGCACTCTTTAATGATCAGCTCCCACAGAGACGGCTTTGGAGCCGTTTAAGTGCTCGTATTGAATTATTGTTATAAACTCATTTTGTGCGGTAAAGCTTGGGTAATTTCCTGCACCCGAGGGTCTCTGAAAGCCCTGATAATTAGCAGCAGGATGAGCGATCACTCAGGCAGAGAGGGGATAACGYGTCAAACACCGACACCCTTTACACATTTCTGGACACTTTCCTTCTCTGTGAGGAGAGAAAAAAAATCATTAAACAGCTTCTCACCGACGTAACACTTTGTCCAAATTATTCGCTGGTTTTGCTAAACAGAAACTTGTACCTTAATAAGTGCCGACTGAAAACTGATCATGTCACTTTATGAGAGAACAGCTACTTAGCAAGGATAAGCACAGTTAATTAAAAATAATACATCTTTAAATATAATGGTATCGCAAATCAGTGTTAATATTTTCTTTAAACGTATCAACACTGTTTTTAATCTGATGTATTTGAATTGAATTCATCTACATTAAAAATCTTTTTTTCAGGAGTAAATAGATTTGATGCTTATAGAAATGTGAGATTTTTAAAAAGTGGTGCTCGTCTCAGACATGAATGTTGTCTGAACCTTCTGGTTACATGACTGCATTGATTTTTAAAACTAAAACCTGCTGCACAAACTTGAATGATCAGAGCATCAGTTGTGGTAGTTTCTCACTGATCTGAAACTGTTGGAAGTAAATTGAAATATTTTAAYGAATATGGTATTCACCTCACAAAGTTTCACAGTGGTGCTGCAGGAATTTAAAAAATAAAAGCATGTTTAAAAAAATTATACAAAATGCTAATTTTAATGTAGTTTCTGTAAGAGTGGTAATTTTGTCTGTGAACTAATAGAGACTTTTTTCTAAAATCTCACCAGGACTTCAGCTAAATGAAAGTGTTGAGTGAAAATTCACTTATTTTCCTGCAGTTTTGTGTGTCCATGCAGCCCCCCGGCCCCCCAACAGTCACAGCCCAGCGAGACATCACCTCAGGTTTCACTGATCCAGAACCTCTAATGCAGCTCAGTCTAATCCCCAGCATTTAATCAAAACCTCTCACATATGGACCAGACCACCAAATGCCCCAATGAGCAACTCACTGCAGTTTGATTTAGAAAAAAAAAAGATGCTCCTTGGATGAGCAATAAAACATCTTATAAAGTAAAATTGTACAAAAGCAGCACCAATTATTAGGCTACCTTTCTTCTGGAGGCGGAGCCAGAGGGGTGGCCAGGGTGGCAAGTGCCACCCCCGGCACCTGATTGGCCACCCCAAAATGACTGACAGGTGGGCGGGGATCACATGTGACAATAAAGAATTGACAGTTAGAGCTAAAATGTCTGCCATGTGGCCGACATTTTAAATTTAAGATCTGACTGTACATGTTGGTGATGACAACTCTCACCAAACTTCAGCTCAATAAGTGAAGAAACAAATGAGTTACTGCCATTTAAATTTAGCATTGGTGGCCATTTGAATTCAGAATCGATTTGGTATTGCTCTCAGCTACCACCACACTACGTTTTAGCTTAATATCTATTTTTCAGCTTAGGTGGCCATTTTTGCTCTCAGTATCTGAGTCTATAGGGGTTATTCTCAGTTACTAAAATACCAAGTTTCAGCTCAGTATCTCTAAAAATGGCTGAGTTATATCCATTTAAAATTAGCTTTAAGGGTTAACTTAATTTGGGACWACTTATCAGCATGTCTTTGGGATCATTCTTAGCTACACCACAACAAATTTCAGCTCTATAAGTCTTAAAATGGTAAAATTATAGCCATTTAAAGTTAGCTGTGGTAAATTTAAATGCTATAATTTAAATGAATTTTTAGAGTAGCATTTAGAATTTTGTAAATACTTTGTTCGGCTACTACTACACTCATTTTGTTTTGTTTGTCTAAAAATGGCTGAAATAGAGCTCTTTGTAAAATTAGCATTAGCAGTTAGCTTGCACTTGTCACTAGCATTCAGTGTGATTTCTGGATAATTTTTAGCTATGATCACCAAAAATTTCAGCTCGTATCTCTTAAAACAGCTGAATTTGAGATATTTAAAATTGATTGTGGCAGCCATCTTAAATTTTCAAATCCAGGGTGATTTTTTTTCTTTATTTGTGTCCCCCTTAAAGGGATCCCTGATTAGTTGTAACATTAAACTTTATTTGATAAACATATATTTTAACTGTAAAATAAAGACTGTAAAAATACTGTAGGATGTTTAGTTTTGTAAATTTAACACGGACAGGGCCATTTTATTTACACACAAAGCATTCTGGGTAAATGATGACGTGGATAGGTCCTCGGTGCGAGGCTGCTAGCGAGCTATATCCACCCTGAAGGTTAATCTTGGACAATATCTGATGATCGACTCTTTTAAATGAAACCAGAGAGCGTTGACAGAGAGGAGAAGGTAGAAATGACTCAGCCTGGAACTGAAAATATGGATGGAGGACAACAGAGCTGCTTCATGGAAGAAGAACCTCAGCTTAGCCTGTTAGCTTTAGCATTAGCCCCGATGCTATCACCATATATATATATATATATATATTAGCTCAGCGCTACACATTCTCCTCTCGTCACTGAGGTCCTCCATCCACATGACAGAGAGGGGAACACAAAAATGACTCAATATGGATGGAGGACCTCAGTTTAGCTTGTTTGTCGCGCTGGCACCGAGCTAATACATATAAGGCAATATAGCATCAGCGCTAGTGCTAAAGCTAACAGGCTAATCTGAGGTTCTTCTTCCATGAAGCAGCTCTGTTGTCCTCCATCCATATTTTCAGTTCCAGGCTGAGTCATTTCTACCTTCTCCTCTCTGTCAACGCTCTCTGGTTTCATTTAAAAGAGTCGATCATCAGATATTGTCCAAGATTAACCTTCAGGGKGGATATAGCTCGCTAGCAGCCTCGCACCGAGGACCTATCCACGTCATCATTTACCCAGAATGCTTTGCGAGTAAATAAAATGGCTCCGTCCTTGTTAAAATATATTTTTAAAATATAAAAACTAAACAGCCTACAGTATTTTTACAGTCTTTATTTTACAGTTAAAGTAAATGTTTATCAAATAAAGTCTAATGTTACAACTAATCATGGATCTCTTTAAAGTTGAAGACAGACTTTGTGAGACAAAAACATCCTGCAGAGGTCAGAACCAGTAAACCGGGCCCTTCGGTTGTATGCTGTGTGCTGCAGTGTTGGTACGCAGGCAGAGTTTGGACTGAACACACCTGAACCACGTGGTCTGAGTCATGTGACCGGGTGGGGGGGCGTGGCTTCCTGGTGGATCCATAAAGTACAGTGTGAGCCGACGGTTGGTTCTGTGTCGTCCTGTAGCAGTGAGGTTTGTGTCCAACATCTCGTCTCCAGCTCCTGCCACAGATTATATGTCAATGTGGACGCCCACTCTGTCTGTCTCCTCTCCATTTTTCCTTTCTTTATTTACGCTTGACTGTCTATGATCTCGTGCAGGTCACTAAGGATTACAGACTGGCAAGGGTTTCTGGTCCATTGACATATAATGACATTACAACTGCTTCATCGGAGGGGAGGAGGGACATTTGGACAGACAGAGWGAGAGGCTGGGATGAAGCAGAAGCTATTGACACAGGTCAGAATAGACCTCCTATACAACCATCAGAATTAAAGAAACATTTCTGTGCCATCTGTTACTGTAGGAGAGTTGATTTCCGGTTCAAAACGAGCAAAAAGCAGACTTCATGTCTGCTTGACTGTGGCCTTCATTGAAAAAATGAATTTAAAAGATGAAACTCAAAGATGATTTAAAGCCAAGGCTTTTTTTGTTGTTAGATTGTGAAATTTCTCACAGAAATTGTTTAAATGAGTAAAAAAAAAAGAAAAAAAATCCAAATAAGTTTCAGAAAACAATATTTTTTTAGAGCCTCGACTGGAATCATCTCATCTTTAACAGCAAACTGTTCATTAGAAACCCTCCTGATTGTCACGTTTTCTTTGTGTTTTTCCTCTTTTCTGTTTAATCATCTTTTAACTGTCAAACAGCTGAACTCTCACCTGAACTTCACCTGTTTCAGCTCTGATAATGACCAAATCCACCCTTACCTAAAAGTAATATACTTGAAGTTCATTTTAATAAGTATACTTGAGTATAAGTTTAAGTATATCATTAGGCACTAGGGCTGTGTATTGGCAAGAATTTGGCGATACGATACATATCATAACAGAAGGTCACGATACGATATATCCCGATATATTGCGATACTGTAAGCAAGGCGATATATTGTGATATATTGCGATTTTTTTTGTCCAAAAATTCTATTAAATAAAAACCGTTTACTGAAAAAA